AAAAAAGATAAGGTATAAATAACTTGTAGAGATTGGTAGTCACTTTGTCTATGAAGACATAAAATGCTGCCCAGCCGGACGTGGCTCAGCAGTTGAGCATCCACCTAGGTTCCAATAGATCATGGTTCGATGCCCTGGGCAGGCCACATGTCCGGGTTGCGAGCTTAATCCCCAGTCGGGGACATTCAGGAGGCAGCCAATCAATGACTTCTTTCATCATTGATGTTTCTATCTCTCTCTCTCCCTCTCCCTTCCTCTCTCTGAAATCAATAAAGATATATATTTTTTAAAAAACCAGAAAATACTGTGACAAGAACCTCTAACTTATATATTCCAAATCAAGTTCTCTCAATGCAACTTAAGAAATGAAAGATTTAGCATTGTTCAGTATGATACTGTTCTTTAGCAATATGAGTACACTGAGGCAAAAAGAATTTCAATGCTCATAACCTCATACCAAAAAGAGAGGATTTGAAATTGAGCAAGAATTAGTATTTGCCTTACCCCTGATATTCAGGTCTGCATCCAGCACATGAGCTTTACTCTATCTGTAGGAACCCATAAGAAGTAAAATGGCAGTCTTACTACTATCCCCTCATTGACACTGCTCTTCTCATCGTTTTCACTGTCAACACTCAGTGACTACAATGATCACTTCCCAAAACAGAACATTTGTTTGTGGCCTAATGGCCAAAACTACTTCACATCCAATTTTTCCCCTCACCAAATATATAGCTCCTTCTTATTATAGCAGGAAAATCAATTAGGATGACTGGAATACTATATTTCTTAAAGAAGTTGCATGTGACACATCTTGAGATAATACTGTATTAGAAGGTGAAGAAAAGGAAGATTAATATAAAGTAGATGGGAAGTTTGTGGATAAGTGAGAGAAAGAATATTGTCGGAAATATAATGGTGAGAGTTCCTTAACTTTTCAGGATTCTAGAGAGTAAGAAAAGGCAGAAATTTTAATAAAAAATGTTTTGTACTGTTTCATTTTTGAAAGATATATGAGTAGAGTAAATGTACTATTTGAGACTTTGAAGTTACTTTTAAAATTTTTCATTTTTAAATGCATTTTTATCAGGAGGCCTCTGCAATGGTTTAATTGTGAGGTGGTGTATAGTGGTCTAAGCCAGAACCACAAGAGATACTTGTGACTTGTATTGAGATGGTAATTGTAGAGATCAAGTTAATAAATGGACCTAAGAGACTTAGAGGCTAAACCAACAGTCTGGGTGTTGGATTGAAATTGTTATTTGGTGGGAGAGAAAGGGACAAAGAATGATTCAGTTAAACTTACTTGAAGTGGCTTCTGGCATGTGCAGCTACTTAGATGTATGTACCATTCCCATGAATAGGAATCAGTACAGAGGACTATGTTTGAATTTAAAAAAATAAATCAAGAATTTGGTTTTTAAACATTTGTGCTTTTTGTGATTGTGTGTCTAAGTACATATACTGAATAAATAGCTAGGCATACTTGACCTATGTATTGAAGTATTGAAAAAGCTACAAGATGATGGCTTGATTCTGCATGATTCTGAGTTGGGGTTCCTAGTATGAATCATTTTTTTACCCTTTTCTAGATATATTATTCTGGACAATTTATTTAGATTACTGGTGCTGCTATTTTGCTATCTATAGATCAGGGTAATTACAGTGCTTAAACTTATTAAATTATTATAAAAATTAAGTGATGTAATCTATGTAAAATTAAATATATAAAATACTCAATAAAGAGAACTTGCTATTATTGGCATTAATATTATAATTACTGTTATACTCATTAGTGTGCGTGTGTGTCTACCTTTCATGCTGTAGCCTCCTCAATATCAAGAGCTTTGTCTCATTTATCCTTGTTTTTCTAATGTAGCTCAGCGCTTAAATACTCATTAACATTTATGAATTTAAAGTGAATGACAGTTCCACTCATTCTTTCAGAACTGGGTTACGTCCAGCTTTTTAAATCAAGGACTCATTATCTGTAACAATGATACACTTAGGGAATAGAATAGGCCTTGGATTCTGAAGCACACATTCCAGGACTTGATTTTATGCTGTCATTCATTAAGGATTTGTATGTATTATTTAGGGTACTTAAAATAAATAAGCTATAAAGAAGCTGACTCTGTGTCTTAAACTACTTTGGTATTCTTCAAAGCTACTAGAAAATAATTTAGATTCTGCACAAAGCTCAATAAGTATTTCATAGAATTGTAGCCCTTGATCCCTGACATGAAGATTAGGGTGAGCATTTTGTGTGCTGGCAATGAGCTAGTGGTATAAGGAGGCTCCGTGACTTGAGTGAGTTTACCAACAGCAGCAAGGCAGACACGAGCTTAGAGTAACTCCTATCTCTCACTCTACCATAACATATTGTTTCTCTTCACTTATTTCTGTACCAAAAAAAATCAAAGCAATCGAGTCTTAAATAGCAGTAATGCTGGAAAAATCCAGGAGCATCAAAATGAGTATTGTAGATGATCCAGCAGAACTGGCTGAAGATGGTGCCAGTCACTGTATCAGTCACTCAGAGCTGCTATAACAAATTACCCCAGGTGTAGTGGCTTAGACAACACTCATTTATGAACTCATGGATGTGTAGAACAGAAGTCCAGCATAGCATAGCAGATGCTGTGCTTAAGGCATTGCTGGGATTTAAGATCTTCACTAGGGTGACACTTCTCTAGGGCTCAAATTCTTTTCCTAAAATCACTGGTTGTTGGCAGAGTTCAGTCCCTTGCAGTTGTAGGACTGATGTCCCCATTTCCTTGATACTTGCCCCCCTTTTATTTTAATGCCAAAAATGATATGTACTATTCTGATGCTTTGAAACTGACTAACCCCACTCCCATATCTCCCATACTTCCTTTTCTGCACCAGGGAAAGAGAGATCGGATTTTAAGGGCTTGTGTGATTAGATTGGCCCTGCCCATATAATCCAGCATAATTTTCTTAATTTTAAAGATTAGTAACTTGATCACGTCTGCAAAATCCCTTTTGCCATGAAATGAAGCATATTCATGCTATGACACCAGGGGGTAAAGTCACCAGAGCCAAAATTCTGCTACTCCCAGTCACTGCCCAAAGTTACAATAACAATAAAAGGCAAATGGTGCCAGCCTTGATTTCAAATTTGCTGCATGTCTAATTAGTCAAACAGTCAAAGGCAAACACTTGTCATCCTAATATTATAGCCAATGTATATACATTAAACTGGCTATTTTATGAATAGAAAATACAAACAAAAATACAACCAATGGGGGAAAAAATGGTGCCATGAAGCAGTTGATGACAATATGACACCTTGATAGCTACTAATCGTATAACGTAGATTCTGATCTTATCAGATACGTTTTTGAAACTGAGTAGAAATATGTATTTGTAGCTATATAAATGTTCTAAAAACATTGAGAATAAATCATGATTTCTAAAATGAATTAAACCATGTAAAGAACAAAGCTGTATGCCATAAACATTCCTGTCATGGAAACAGACACTGTGATCTTGCGACTGACATGCACAGTTCTACAAAGCCTGTGTGTAAAAGGCAGTCCTAGGAGACAGTGGAAAGCCCTGTTGTCACTGTTATCAGAGCACTAAGACTTGGTAGTGTTTGAATGCTATCAAATGGCGTATCTATGTAAATAGGAGTGTTTATCTGGGTGGTTAAAAGAGGATGTGGATTACTTTGGGATTTACAGACTGAAACCGAGATGTAAACGTTGAGCCACTTTGTTCCTGGATTGTTAGCCTCGAGATTGTTCTCCTGAGATCTGCAGTTGCTACAACAAATCCACAAGGTTTCAAAGTCTTGCCCTCTGTTTCCAAATCCACTGGGTGGTTTTCTCTGGAAGTCATTTTATACTTTATTCTTTTTTTTTTTTTTTTTTTAATATATCTTTATTGATTTCAGAGAGAAACGGAGAGAGAGAGAAACATCAATGATGAGAGTCATTGATCGGCTGCCTCCTGTACGCCCCCGACTGGGGGTCGAGCCCGAGACTCGGGCATGTGCCCTGACCGGATATCGAACCCCGATCTCCTGGATCCTTGGTTGATGCTTAACTGCTGAGCCACGCCTGGCCAGACTATACTTTATTCTTAAATGAGAGGCAATATGCATGCTTTTACTTGATTTCTCGCTTTAAGAGACAGATGGTAAGCACTTTTTATTAATATCTGGATTTTCTCTTGTATTTCCATGTGAAGGAAGAAACTGATATAAGATACCTTCAAGTAAAATGCTTGCACACTTACTCATTTCATATATGGAAGCTACAGCACTACTCCCAGAAAACTGAGCAACGGTGCAGAGAAAACACGGCTGCTTTATTTTTTTAGCAACAAACGGCAGGATGTACAGCAGTTTTCCTGGTAACTACGTTTGTTGGCTTTTTCTTCTCAATGTAGTAAGCAAACTACTTGACAATTTTTTTAAATCACCTTTATAGTGATTTTTTTTTAAGAAATATGATCCCTTGTGATATTTTTATAGCTAGATATGTTTTATAGGTATAAAAAATTGTCTAAGACATAATCAAAGGCAGATAGTGTATGCCCTGAGTAAAGACAAAGGATACGTTTATACATCATTAGAAAATGATCATAGAGAAAATGGTATATTTTTACATCCTGAAGGAATGGCATAGAAAGCAAGATTTCAATTACACACTCCAACCAGAAAAACAACAATAAAAATATTCAGAGTATTTGGAACAGTGGGAATTCAGTGCAGGAAACTGATGACAGGAAGAAGACTGGCTGAGACACCAACTGGTATAGTAAAGAAGCCTGACAAAGATCTACTGCAAATGTTGCCTGGAGGGACAAAGGTGGTTAAGTACGCACTCCAAAGCCCTGGGCTGTGTCACCCAGTGGGAGCTGGAACCGAGAGGGCCCTCCCGTGGTAACTGGAGCCGGCTGCTGGAGATGCCACCTGACTCGGTGTTGGAGTGGAAGGGATATCCAGGTATCTCCCTCTTGCTTTCAAGATGCCCTCTCAGGCCTCTGATTGGCAGAAACCTGGGAGCGTGGCAACTGAGAGTGTCCCTGTAAATCAGCTCACAGTGTATCCCAGCCACACAGAAGAGAGCAAGAACCAGGCTGTGAATGGCTCTGAGGTCAGGGTAAGAAGAGTCATATCTAATGAACCTTCTACCACAGTGCCCACCAGCTTCCTCTGGCACATTGTGCAACATCACAGTATAGTCATTATTTATTCTTGTTCCAGTACATATCTCTCTCCCTCTGTCTGTCTGTCTCTCTCCACCCCCCTCTCTCTTCCTCTCTAAAGCTTAATACCAGTGTTAGGAAAACAAAGATTGAGAATTTCTAATTTTTTTCTCTTTTCCCACACGTTTTTGTATGTGTAGACACAGCATCTCCTAAACTCTTGGTGACTCAGTTTACTCAGCTATAAAGGAACATATCATGGAAAGATAATCTCTGTAATTTTTTAAATCCATAAAATTCTAGATCATAAATTTTTATCAAAAACTACCCTGTTCAATATACTGTAACCTAACTTGGTACCCAAGTTAAACCAGGCTAAAATACATAAGAAATTACATTTAAAATGATGATATCTAAAAATCTAGAAATAATACACATTGAGAAATATTACGTTGGTTTACTCTGGATGGTGAGATTAAGAGTGATTTATATGTTCTACTTTTTGCTGTTTGTGAAGTTTTTAAAATGAACATATATCAGTTAATAGGAAATAGAGACAAAAAAATAATTATATTAGAGCTCAGTATTTACATGTGTATATGTTCTTAATTTTATGTAAGTACTCTTAGTGGCAATACATAACACTTTGTGTAATAAATATTAAGCAAAGCAGAGATGTTGCTGAAAACTAGTGCTGAAAGTCAAACAACAACACAGTTACTTGGATATTTATTCTTTTAGATCAGGATCTTCACCCCCCCAGGGAGAATCCCATAGGAAAGCAAAGAATAGTGAAAAGTTATTAAAATAGAAATGACCTCTATATGACTTAGAGGAAGTCATAATACAGAGAGAAAAAAAAAGCAGAGAATATATTCTATTTCGATACCTATTTGAATAACTGTTTCTGTGGTCATCATTTAATTTTAATATTAAAATAACCACGATTGCCCTTTATTGAAAGCTCACTGTGCGCTGTGTACAGTGCTGATCTCTTTGCATATATTCTCTCACAACAACACTATGAACTGGAAAGATCTATCAAATTGTCCCTTTAACAGAAATGGATGTTTAGAGAGGTCTAGTTAAAACACACACACATACAAACTTACATGAAGTCACAGAAACAGAGTGAGTAATTAAATTAAGGTTTTTACCTCAAAAGTTTGCTTTGACCATTAAACTGTGTGCTTCCCTGACACCATTGCTAGAAAACTTGGCTAATTATTTTATAAATATTTTGATCAAGTTTTGCTGAGCTTGGAGATCTATATCAATTTAGTATTTGAAAGTTTTTAAATGCAATAAAGAATTAAGGGAGAGGGAGAAAGAGCATGATAGACCATACTGTTCATCTAGATTACAAAATATTTAAGAGTAAGGTTTACATAACTCTATTGATATGTTTACTTAAGTTAGTTTATACATCAGTCTGTGACTCATGTAATCATCCAATTAGAAAACATAACCAAAGTTATAGCTTCTTGTGTGTGGTAAGAGTAGTCAAAACTAATAAATGTAATGAAGAGAAATGTTTGAGTGTGTGTGTACAAACATATGAGTGCATCAAAAGAGTATATGTGTGTGTGTGTGTGTGAGTGTGTTTGTGTGTGTGTATATTTTTTTTTCACCCTTTTTGAAATGCAAAACTAGACCCCTGTTCAGAGGAAAAAGCCTCCCAGGCATATAACAAATTTTCACATTAGAGTGTCTTTTAGTAAAACCCAGGCGACATAATTGGTCTTTGTTTTTTTTCTATTGTAAGAACAAAAATATTCTATCTATATGTGCATTTAATATTCTTTTCAAATTATCAGAAAAAAAGAAATAGCAGAGGCTTAATCTACCTGATACTCAAATGATCTCTCAATAATTTAATACTTTATTTTATAATCTTATAGGGAATAACCTAAAGAAAAAAATTAAATAATGAGTATTATTAAATTATTTTTACATCTCATTATAACTTTAAAGTGAAGTCTAGAATTGAAATATATGTAATCCAGTCATTTACATGTATGTTTACACACCCAGTCATTTATTTCAAGTAGTTCCTTAATACAATTATTGTACTTGTGTGTGTATTTTTTTAAATATGTTTTTAATGATTTCAGAGAGAGGAAGGGGGGGAGAGAGAGAGAGAGAGAGAGAGAGAGAAACATCAGTGATGAGAGAGTCATTGACCGGCTGCCTCCCGCACGCCCCCGACTGGGGATCGAGCCCGCAACCCGGGCATGTGCCCTGACCGGGAATCGAACCCCGATCTCCTGGTTCATGGGTTGATGCTCAACACTGACCCACTCCGGCTGGCTTGTGTGTACTTATTCATTAAAATTCCACATATATTTGATGGCTTTGAAGGAACTTTCTCTTTGTTTCTGATAGGTGGATATAAAGCTTTCAAAGGCAGTTCATCTTTCAGCTAGTAAGAGCCTAAAGTGTCTTATTGACAGTACATAACCCAGATGTGTATTAACAAAAATGACTTTTGGGGTGGCACAATTACCATGCAGAGTGCTGGAAAATATGAAGCGTCTCTTGACCAAAATTGAGGACAGATGGTGAACAAGTATATTATATAAAAGTGCAACTGCACAGGGAATATTTAAGTGGGCAGAATGTGATTATGTAAATGAAAAATTCACTTGTAACCAAGAATGCCAAATATGCAGTGAAACTCAAATTGGATTATTCAACTAAGTATAGAGATGCTCCTGAATTACAACCATAGCCTGAAAGGGTTGCTCTCTGGAAAAATGGGAAAGCAGCTACGTTTGATTCATATCCCTCTTACCTCAGCGTTCAGTATTTTATTTATTGTAGAATAAAGGGTGACTTTTGAAAGCATGTCTCTTTTTTCTACAACTCCATTTTATCAGTGTTCTTATTTTGTCAAATCACTACTGTCATCTTAGAAAATAACTTGACAAGTGAATAGACATGTAGTCATAACATGAATGGTACCTGAACGGTGGTATTACTTGAAAAGAAGTCACAGGAAAGGGACAGTGAATAACTAACTACCATGCCCCTTTGCAATATTGTGATTTATAAGAAATATATATTCAGTTATTTATATGATCAAATTATATTTCTCATATATATGTGGTCTTCTCCCACAGCTTCTGGCTCAGTGTTCTGAAAGCCTGTGGAGTTTCCTGTGATGAGAGCCACAGAGGTGTCTCTTGTTATGTTAATGTGTTGACTTTTGGACCACCCCTGAGGATGGGAGCTGGTGGCCAGGAGAACCAACCTTATGATTGGAGGATTGGAACTTAAATTTTTACCCTCCAGACCTCCAGAGAAGAGAGAGGGGCTAGAGATTGAATAAATTGCCAGAGACCAATGTTTTAATCAGTTATATCTATGTAATAAAGTCTCCATAAAAGCCCAAAAGGAGAGAGGGTTCTAAGAGCATCCAGGTTGGTGAACTCGTGAAGATACGGGACACTGGTGTTTCTGACAGGATGTTCTGAACCCCTTCCCACATACCTTGCCCTACATATTTCTTCCATCTGTCCATTCCTGAGTCATATCCTCTTACAATAAACTGCTAATCTAGTAAGTAAAATGTTTCTCTGGCAAATTAAGTGAACCCACAGAGAGTTTTGTTGGACCTCCTGATCTATATCCAGTGGGTCAGATGCGCAGGTGATAACCTGGGCTTATTACTGGTATCTGGAGTGTGTGTGAGGGTGCAGCCTTGAAGGACTGACCCCTGAACCTGTGGGATCTGATGTTATCTCCAGCTAGTGTCAAAATCCAGTTGAATTATAGGACACCTAGCTAGTCCCCCAGAATTGCTTGGTGGTATGGGGGAACTTCCACCACAGAAGTCAGAATTGGTCACAGAACCATATCACCCACTCATTCAAGAAAATAGAAGGAATATAATGATTTAGGAAACATACTGAAGTATTCAGATCATGTGATCTAGTTAAGTAAGTATTTTAACTATCTGTGATGAATTCATGGTTATATACATTTTTAATCTAAGGAATCCCTTCTAATGTCTTCCGTAAGTAATATATACTTGTTTTGGATATAGGCACAGACTCAATCATTCAGAGAGTGCCCGGTGGTTTTTCTCTTGATGTCTGTTAAAGAACTGCGTGAGATTTTACCCTGCTTACGAGCTAGCAAGTTAGTCTGCTGCAGCTTCAGAGGTGCTGGTGGAACGCCTGGGAGTCGTGGTCAGAGACAGTGTACTTAATACTTTCAGTGACAGCAGTGGTCGGTGTATCAGCATTTTCTTGTGCCATTCCCAGAACCTTGAATCCCGTAAGGTGATGTGATAACAGCAAGTGCCATCTGCACACATAGTGAGTTGAATTACAGGAGAGGACCCCTGAACTTAGGAAACCTGAATCATTTGTTATGGGCAGTAAGCGTGCCTGACTTGCACTGGGGAGAGATATTATCTCTATCTCCCAAGACTGTAAGTAGATCTGCTCTTTGCTCCAGAGATATAACCAATCTCTGTATTCTATCCTTGAAAATACAATCCCAAAGGGCAGTCAGTGCCTCATTTGCAAGACATGCAGAAACACAGGAGGTGCCTGGGCAGTTACCTTCCTCAAATTGAAATATCATATATTATGCTCGGCCCCTTGCAAAGTAGGCAGCATTTTCCACACATTTTAATGATGGTTCTCTTTATCAAGTATTTGACTAAAGATAGCCTGTTAATTGTTTGATAAAGTTTATAAACTTTGTTTAAATTATGCATTCTAAAGTCTAAAAGTAATTCTCTCAAGTCTGTGCTGTGGTTTTAATTTTAAAATTAATATAGTACCAGTGTACAAAACATTCATTTTCTTAAGGGAGTTACTGAATAAACATTGATAACTACTTCAGATCCCCTCCAAGTTTATTATGAGCCTAATGTGACATAAGACATTAAAGTGAAGGCTTTCGCAGCCTGTCATCATTTGTCATCTGCTATCACTCAGGA